GTAAACAAATAGAGAACAAGAATCTATCTAACTTGTCGTTCAGCCACTACAGCACCAGACACAGCACCTGTATATGGGAGCGTATGATAAAGACTCAAAGCTATACAATCAAGCTGTACAAAACCTAGCACGTAGGCAGCACTCAAATATTTGTTGAATGTGTGAATAAAACTCTGCTTAGTGATGACTAAGTGAATCAGCCAGGACTTGCTGTGCATACCAAACACGAATTAGTGGTGAAAGGAAAATCAGAACACCAATATGTGTATCCAAAGTCCTAAATTAATTTTTCTGCCGATATTAGCCTGATGACTCATACTGGTAGTCAACTATCAGCTACAATTGTAAACTCCTGTGAACAAGGCACATAAAGAGGGCAAGATAGGAGGAGGTAGAAAAAAGAAAACACTAACAAAGTATGATAAGTAAGGAATGGCAACATTATCGGATTGTAGGTCATCTTCCTGAAGACTTCTAAGAGGGCAAGCAAACTAAGAAAGTGAAGAAAAATCTATAGAGCTTCAGTTAAAAAACAAAAAAAGCTAATGTGATAGGACAGATCAAAAAGATGAGGAAAGCTAGCCAGTAACAGATTACACAGTAGAGACTTTTTTCCTTAAATTCATTATGCAGTATTTCAGACATACAAAAAGGCAAAAAAAAGTATAAAAAATACCTGTGTATGCTCCACTCAGTTACAGAAATAAAGCATTAACAGTTAAAGCCCTCTGTATACTTCCTCAATTATATCCCCCTTCAACTCCCAGAGGTAACAGTATTCTGAATTTGGAGTTAAACATTCTTATTCATTTCTTTGTATTTTTACAGTGATGTCATTTTCTAAAAAGTAGTGGATAAACTTTGTCACAAAGAGAGGAATTTCATCTAAATACACTATCATAAGAGATGCAGCATGAAAGGGAAAGTAAAGGAACAGTTAGTAACAACTGACCAACTCTAAGACAAAGAGATGACAATTTGGGAGATGGATAGGTGGTAACTGAAGGGGGAAAAAGTGAAAGAAAACGGTACTGAAAAAGTAGCAAAGCAAAAAAGAAACAACAAAGAAGAGAAACAGTTGTCTCAGAAACTGCTATACTACTTGCCTTTGAAACAAAATAGAGTGAGAGTGAGTTCAGTTCACCCACTCAACAAATAGGCACAAACTATTATTAGGCATTCTTCTAACGTACTAGAGGTACAGCAGAAAACAAAACAATTCTCTGCCTTTAAGAAGCATTAATTCTAGTTGAGGAAAGAGGCCAACAAGTGAATAACACATCAGACGCCGGGGGGAAAAGAGGAAGAGTAGAGAGGCAGAGTGCTGCTGACAGGAAGCAGGTGCTTGCTGTTTTATGTGAAGGTGGTTAGAGGAGGCCTCTCTGATAAAGCAACATCGAGGCAGAAACCTACAAGCAGTGAGGAATGTAGAAGACAATCTCAGTTAGAGTTACAGCAAATGCAAAGGCCCTGCGGTAGGAGTGTGCATCGCATCTGAAGAACTGTAAAAAGCCTAGAGATGGCTGGGGTCTGTAAGCAACGAGGAGAGTAGATACGGACAAGCTGGTCACAGGGGCACCCCATGTGGATCAATGCCAAAACTAAAGCGCTTATTCAAAGTGAGATACAAAATCACTGGAGAGTTTTCAGGAGAAAAGTAACGTGATCTGATCTACATTTTAAGTAAGATAATCATGTAATTTATCACTCAAACAGGGACACTTTGGTGAGTGAAGGAGAGTGCAATTAATAGTTATGCCAAGAAAATAGGCATTAACAAGACCTTAATTTTAAAAGGCTTCTGTGTGGAGCCAACCTGAAGGAGTTCCTCTGACCAAATCTGGAGCTGATCAAAATACACAGTGATAGTAAAAGATGACAATCTATTGAATAAAGTAAGACTCTATGAGGCTACTTTGATAAAAATAAATAAGGAAAAGCTCCTTCTTACAGGAGAAAGCCAATTAACAAATTTAGAAGGAAAGACATAATTAGAAAATCATCATTTAGCAATCATTATAATAATAACTTATTAGAGCAAGAATCACCAATGAGTGCTAAAATTGGTAGGTAGAAGTTTGAAAACTAATTGGATATTTACATAGTCTCAAAGTATCTCCCCACAAGATATTTATTAATTACAAATGACAAAATAATAAATTTAAAATGGAGAAAATTGGCATACACCACCTTCACTAAATGGCCAAAGTTAACACTGCCAGTAATGGAACCCATCAATAGCATCTGCATCCTAATATGATACACAGGGAAGACCTCAGCATCACTTTTTAGGCACTACAACCCAAAGTGCATAAACTGTATCTAATCATGAGGAAATGACAAGCCCAAATTGAGGGATATACTACAAAATAACTGGCCTGTACTCATTAAATTGTCAACGTCATAAAAATACAAAGACAGACTCAGGAACTGTTCTAGACTAAAGGAGACAAGAGAACATGACAACTGAGTCAACACCTGATTGAGGATATTCTTCTGCTATAAAGGACATTATTGGGATAGTTGGAAAATGTAAATAAGTTCCATAGATTAGATAACAGTATTGTGTCAGTGTTAAGTTCCTGATTTTGATTATCATACTATGATTATGTAGGAGAATTTCTTGTTTCAAAAAAAGATACACTTTAGTACATCACATCTGCAACTTACTCCTAAACATTTAGTTCAGAAAAAAATAATTCTAGGTATGTGAAGAGAGATAAGGAGAAAGATAAAGTAAACTTAGTAAAATGTTAACATTTAAGGAATCTGGGTGAGAGGTATGCACAAATTCTTTGGACTATTTTTGCAAATCTTCCGCAAGTTTGAAATTATTTTTTACTTAAATGAACAAAATACACACACAAACAAAGTTTTCTGTGTATAGAATAGACTAGGCGGGGGATGGTGAATGCAGAGTTAGAAGCAGGGTTGGACCAATTAAAAAGCTATTGCAGATTAAGGACAGAGGTCATGTAAGATAGCAGAGAAGGAAGCACTGGGAATTGGTCCTTTCACCAACACAACTATTGAGCTGGCAAGAAATACTTGAAGCAACTATTTTGAAACTCTGGAATCTAGTCCAAAACTTTCAGCATCTAAGGGAGTGCTTGATGAAGAAAGAGGCTGGTAAATTTTAATTTCAGCATTTGGCATAGCATCGATCATGCTCCAGCTCCCAGTCCCATGGCAGGCAGCACTGAGGACAATAGCCCAGGATCCTGTTACAGCTTGCTGATGCGATGGTGGGTAATAGGGATCTTGTTCTCCAAAAATCAAGATTATGTGTCTTGATCACTGCTTTTGATTGCTGAGGAGCTGGCAGAGGCTGGCCACCATTTTAACCCCCATGGCTAAAGTGTCTTCCCTAGCAGAGTGAGACAAGGGAATTTAAATAAACAGAATACTTTCTTTTTTCCTTTTCTTTTCTTATTGGATGCAGGCATTTAAAGAGATTTTTGTCAAGTCACTACAGGGTGCAGTTAACAGAAGAGACTTAATATACAGCAAGGAATATACTCTTTGCAAAATTAGTTTGGAAAAGTCACTAAACAAATAGACAACTGCAGCTTTGCTCAAGTAACAACAGTAATCTCTAAGGAGGAAGTAGAATCTGATTTCCAGAGTTACCACATTACAATACTCAAAATGTCCAGTTGTCAACAAAAAATTACAAAGCATACAGGCATATGGTAAAAATGCTCAACATTTTTAGAGAAATTATTAGAGAAATGCAAATCAAAACCACAATGAGGTATCACCTCACACCAGCCAGAATGGCTATCATCAAAAAGGCTACAAATAGCAATTTTCCAATGAAGACATCAAATGGCCAATAGGCACGTGAAAAAATGCTCAATATTGCAAATTATCAGATAAATGCAAATCAAAACTACAATGAGATACCATCTCACACCAGTCAGAATGGCCATCATTAAAAAGTCCACAAATGATAAATGTTGGACAGGGTGTGGAGAAAAGGGAACCCTCCTACACCCATGTTGGGAATGTAAATTGGTGCAGTCACTATGGAAAACAGTATGGAGGTCCCCTCAAGAAACTAAAAGACTGAGCTACCATATGATCCAGCAATTCCACTCCCGGGCATATATCCAGAAAAGACAAAAACTCTAACTCGAAAAGAAATATGTACCCTGGTGTTCACAGCAGCACTATTTACAGCAGACAAGACATGGAAACAATCCAAGCACCCATCAACAGATGACTGGTTTAAGAAGATCTGGTGTGTATATATACAATGGAATATTAGTTGGCCATAGAGAAGAATGGAATATTGCCATTTGCAGCAACATAGATGGACCTAGAGAATATTATACTAAGTGAAGGAAGTCAGACAAAGACAAATATTATATGATACTATTTATATGTGGTATCTAAAAAAAATACAAACAAACTTCTATACAAAGCAGAAACAAACTCAGATAGAGAAAACCAATTTATGGTTACTTAAGAGGAAAGGGGAA